TCCCTGTCAGCCACGAGCACACCTCAGCCCCAGAAGGCTTAGCTGAGGTTCTAGATTCTGGCAGCCAAGTTTCTGAGCAGAGTCCAGGCTGGGAGCAGACACCTCGCCCCGCCTCTAGATGCAATAACCGCTGGTCAGGTGGAACAGCACAGAGACGAAAAGAAGTGGCTGCAAAGGAGACAGCCGCTGGCCCACCCCCGCCCGGCCAGATCTCCAATCACAGCGCCACCACACTCCTGCTTGCCTGCATCTTAAAAGACAGTGAAAAAGAAATGCAAAAGCTACACGGCTGGCCGGGTCCCAGAAGATCTGTGCCACCAGGCCTAAAGGTGCCTGGGACTTGACCATCAGAAGCTTCTCCGTGTTTTTTAGACAATTTATTTCACATCTCATTACTGACTTAGAAGATAAAAATTTCTGCACTGCCCTAAACTAGCAGGAGGAAGTTCATCAGGAAAAAAGAGTGAAAACTGTGTTTCGTACACTGGCGGGCTAAGCTGCCCTGCTCACACACTTACCTGCCCGCAGAAACACCTCTCAGGGAGCGTCTGCGAACACTGCAGCCCCTAACGTTGGAGGGGGGTGCGTGTGAGAGAAGCCAGTCCTTTCTTCTGCCAGCACGGCACACACGGTATACACTAGAATGTACTAGAAGGGGCCTGCAGGACCGCTCCCGGAAGGTCTGCACAGGCAAAAAAGCGGACCACCACTCACTGCTTGCGCTGCTCTGGGGATGCATTTGTACTTTTCAACAACTGTAGGCATGACTTGAAATGTCAACTAATTTTTCAACGACCTCACACCCTTCGGTTCCACCCTGGGAGGCCTGGATGGCTCTGCTGTAGCCGCTGCTGCTGCCATGAAGCCCCAACACGAACACTGCCTACGGCTAAGCCCCAGGCCCGGGGCACCCAGGGTGCCGGCAGTTGCGGGGCAGGTGGGAAGAGGCTGAGCTCCGGGTGCACAAACGGCCCGAGCAGACAGCAGCCCTGAATGAGTGACCAGCCCGTGCCGCAAAGGTCAAATCCTCGATCACCCCAGCTGACTGACTAGGCTGACTTCCACCCCTCTCCCTGCAGTTGCGTCCAGGCAGGTGGCTCTCTGCAAGGCTGCGATGGTGGCCCTCCTGGAAAGAACAGGCTTCTCTCGCCTAACGCCTCTTTGCAAGTTAACTGTTCGTGCAGTTTTCAGCTCTGGGCACAGATTAAAGTCCAGGACAACACAAAGGGAGGAAGAAGCCTGCTCCAGTAAAGGCCCGGAAGGCTCCAGGTACCGAAGGCCGAGCTATCTGAAAAATTAGAAGTAACATCTTTTTGCCTCCTCCTTTCTAGTGTTCCTTAGTGTTTAACTCTGCCACCATTTTCCAGGGCCTAGAAAAGAAGAGAAAGAGTAGCTCTCTGGTACCTGGCCCTGGGTCGCAGCCCCGGCAGCTGGGTCGGACACGGGCATGACAGGGAGGTAGCTGAGGGGCGGGTGGGGGCCTGGCGGAGCAGTTCATCCTCAGACGGGCTGGCTTGCCTCATCCAGGGACTCTGGGACAGTCCGGCTCGCCAACAAGGCACAGCCTCTTATCTCCTCTGCTCCCACAGAGGCACCATTAGCATGGGCGCCTGCCCAAGACCGAGTGCGGCTCTACCCACCCCGTGTGAGTCCAGGCAGAACTCAAGCAGCGCTGGCAGCGCCCCTCAGCTGGGACACAACGTGAGAAAGGTCGTGACTTTGGTGAGCTGAGCCCTAACCAACCCGCCCCCCCCCCAAGATCGCGCCCCCCCCCCCCCGCGCCTGCCTTGCCCCAGGGGGAAATCAAAGCACCATCCAGGAAGCACTAGCAAAGGCTAAGAGTGTAATGAACACACACACACACACACACACACACACACACAGGCAAAAGCTGCAGCACTTGTGAGAGCGGCTCTGGGACTGGCTCTGAGGGAACCTTCTCCAGAAAGTCACATCTGCTCTGCCTTTGAATGACGTGAGTGGGCTCTGGGGACAAAGGAGAATCCCAGAACCACGGGACCTGAGCGCTCCTCATTTTATAGGAGCAGAAGTTGAAGCTCTGAGCAGGGCGGTGGCTTCTGCAGAGATGCCTTGTGGAGCGGGCTTCCTGCGGCAGCCGTGCTGGGTGGGGCAGTTCAGTCCTGGGCGTGAGGAGGCCATGGTGGGCTCGGCCGCCAGCGCCACCCACAGCCCCTCAGAGGGGTCTAGCTGCCTCCCATTCCCACTGTCCTCTAGCTGTTGGGTTCACTCAGCCGCTGACTCCTCCCTGCCCAGGCCAGGCCCTCCCTGAGAGGACGATGCCGGCCCCTGGCCCCTTCTAACTGCTGCCTTCCAGAGCCTCCCAGCCCACCCGGCATCCCCCAAAAGCCCTCTGGCCCACAGCCCACTGAGCCAGCCCTGCTTTCTGGACCTGCAGGAGGTTCTGTGTCCTGAGAATCATTTGTGGCCCAGAGATGGCTGCAGTGCTTTCTCTTCCTCTCACTGGATTTTCTGGAGAGCACATTCAAGAAGGGAAGAGTCTGACTCTCTGTGCACAAGCTGCTCTTGAAAAGCATTCAGTTCCTCTCCCTGCTTTAAGAAGATCCGTCTACAGTCCATAGCTATTTTCTGCTTTGAGTTTGAATGAAGCTGAGATCAGCTCAGGGTAAGTGACTTGTAGGGTTTGAATTACACTGGGATCACATCCACAAGGTGCTCGGTACTCCCTTGAGCACTGGTAGAAGCGAGGTTTCTACTCTGGCCGACACCTCCGAGAGCTGTCAAGGGGGAAGTCATCGCACTGGGGTTTGACGGGGGACTCGCCAATCACACAATCCACTCCTCTTCTCCCTCCCGTGCCATGTTAGCAGTAAAATGCCAGGACAGGAGGGCGAAGGGGAGCGTGTACACGATGAATGGCACAGCTCAAGCCCGCTTCCCCAAGCTAAGCTGCCAAAGCCTGCCACCCTCTCCGGAGGACCCAGCCCCCCGACTGGAAAGCCAGAATTCAGCCAGACAAGCATTGCGGCATCGGTGGGCACTGCCACCTGCCAGGGCAAGGGTCGCCCTTGGTGCGGAAGTCTGGCTTCAAGCAGCAGTGACCAGACTGCCTGGGTGTTTGACACACCTGGCACCAACCCCCTGAGGGCCCCAGCTGGCCTGCCCTGTGCTCCCCATCCAGGGATGCCAAACCTGCCTCTCTAGCAGGAAGAGTAGGTTGAACGATCTCAACTAGCAGTACAAGATTCTCCCCCAGCAAAATGGAAAATGTGATTTACTTTGAGAGGAATACGTTGGTGACCACAGGTGAGATGGGGAGAGCCACCTTCGCTCGCAGTCCTGACACACTCCATCCCTGACTGTCAACAGCCAGCTCTCTCACCCATGGGGATGGGAGATTCCAGCTGGGTGATTCGGCCCTGCCCCCTGCTGTCTAGAAGACAGACAGACGGTACACGGCACTACCAACTGTGCGGGCGGAACACGCTTCTCCACATCTTGACAAAGCTACTCAAACCACAGCTCTGCAGCAAAAACCTGTCTGCCTCCACACGTGATGGCCCTTTTGCTGTCTTTTTTACAAAGTGCAGCACACCGTCCCCTCCATTCACCTGCTTTTTACTCTGAGACGCCAGAAGCCTGAGATGGGCCACGGTGGTCCCTGGTGGTTACATGCAGCTCTGGAGGAGATCTAGGAGGCATTCCTTTTATGTGATAACACACTGAGGGCATAAGGGGCCATCGAAGGAACCGTCACTGACCAAGGACAGCGTTCCCCATCCAGGGGTGCAGGGAGATGCCCCCCTTCCGCCGTCATTTACAACGCCCCTTGGGAGAAGCAAGTCAACAGAAAATGAACATTTTTTTCCCGCCATAAAAAGCTCAGGCTAAATCAAGACATTTCTTCCTCCCAAATTGTTTTTCCTAGTCACTAAGAAAGTATCAAATGTTTGCTTTTGTCCAAAGATATTATATATCCTAGAATTTCTCCAAAATAATATTTAGCTATAGTTTTTCAGCTCCCTTTCTAAAACTTCTAATACCACATCTTTTAATGCTTTAGTGCCATTTAAAAAATTCTTCATTATGACAGGTATCAGAGCAATCACCATGCAATTATTATTGAAATCATAGTTTAGAAAAGGAGAGTGCGGCTTCCCTGACAAAATTCGTAAATGTTTGCCCAGTCATTGAAATCGGATGGAAGCCACTTTGGGATTGTGTTATTTGTTCGTTTTAACCTGAAGAGACTGTTGCATTTTCAGGTTATGTATAGCTACTCACATAGCCACAGCATATAAATTCACATTGTAAGTGTGATTTCTCCTCCTTTGGGGGAACTTTAAAGGATAAAAAGGACTCAGGTGGGACCCTTAAATAAATTAGCTGTATCTAAATCTTTCAACTTTCTCTTTCTCTCTTAAGAGTGTAATCACTGAGAATTAAAATTTGTATAAATTATCTTGGACCTTAGCATCCAAGACAAGAAGGGCAAGATGAATGCCTCTTGGGGACCCTAAAGGAGAAAGCCCAGCACAGCCGTAAACGGGAGGACCCAGGAGGGCTGCAGGGTTTCTCAAGGAAGCCCTCGGAGCCCCAGACAGGTGGAATCCAACTTGTTTCTCTTCCCTCTCCCAACCATTTACACAGGCCACAGAGGACTCCCAGGCGGAAATGAACCAAACAGGACCACGAAGTCTGGCATGTTCGACCTCCCTTTTACATGGACAGACACTCCCACCATCAGCAAGAATCCTGGGAGCAAAATACAGAGACTGGGGGGTAGGCTTCCACCTCCGGCCCCCATACCGCCACCCTTCTAGAGGGGCCACAGCAGCCGAGCTGCAGATGCCCGTCCACGGAGCAAGTAGGGGAGGGGCCGACCTGCCTCCTGCTCTGAACCACTGGGTTGTGGGGAGTTGAAATCTCACAAAAGCACTTTTGTGTGGCTTCGCTTCCCGTTACCATCGCACTGCCAAAAACCACAGCAACAATACAGTGAAAGCTCGTCAAAGCCGACACAGCCTTGATAGCTAAGCACAAGCACGTGTTGGCCACTCGAGGGCACCATTTGGAGGTGGCTGTGCCTACCCGGCAGACAAGGCCCAGTCCTCTGCAGGAGTTCGCCCTAGGACACTTCCGGGCCTCTTTCAAACCCTAGAAGCCTCCTCCCAGCTCCTTAGGAAAACCTCCTGGCAGGTCTCTAGGGAAAGCCATAGCGCCCCCTTTCCCCATCCCCAGACATTGCACTAGCTTCCTCCTGTGCGCCCCCAAGGCACTGCGGACACCGCGGGCTACCCAGCTTAGGAGCTGCAGAAACTGACAGATGCCGCGCACCCCCGACCCGATGACATGTCAGGTCAGACTGGCGCTTTAAAACCTCTCCCCCATCTCACCTCCCCCCTCCGAAAATTTTCTTTCCACTTTCTAGATCATTCCCAATTGGAATTTGTATTTTTTAAAAAAGGTGGTGCTGGCCGTTGCAGAGATCTGGGAAGCTCCACAATGCAGTCTTTCCGACAAATGTTCCTTTTCAAAACTGGGAGAATGTTAGATTTTGAAAGTTCGAGGAAAAAGATAAGGCCTTTTGCAGCGGTTCCTCCCCAGAATAAATGGCCCCGATGCAACGCAAGCCTTCGGAAAGGGCATTACAGCCCTTCCGTAGGTCTCAGGTGCAACACCGGGAACTCTGCCCCCCAGCGGGCCGTGCCCCACACTCAGCCGGAAACAAAAAGGGGTGAAAAGAGACTCAAGTATCCCTTTAGCTCCCCCATGCTGAAGCCCCCAATTCCCTAACCCGTTTCTACCCGATTTGGTGCCGGTTACTGTAACAGCAATGCAAAGCCATCCTCTCCCCAAAAGGGGGCGGTGGGCGCAATGGTGATCTGTTTGCAAAATACACATGACTGTGACATTCGGTAGCGTCAAGGTCATCTCTTCCCGGGGCTTTCGGATGCTTCCACCGTAAACGTGCGCATGAGTGACTAAGTGTGTGGGTGTGAGTGTTGGTGTGTGAACGTGCGCTCTTCCTCCTTCGTGCGGCCGCCGGGCCAGACTCCGACACGCAGCCACGCTAGGTGACAGGCTCGGCCCGAAGCTGCTCTCAGCGGGGAGTCCTTGGTGGCGCGGCTGCCCCCTCCCTGGCCCGGCCTGGCCCGCATGCTACCTGCAGCCGCACGCCTCCACCACCATGTCCTCGTATTGCTTGTAGACCACGTTGTTGGCGGCGTCGATGTAGAGGATACTGATGGGGCTGAGGCGCGCGGGCACGCAGCAGGAGGCCGGCGCTGCATCCGGCGCCATGGAGTTGAGCAGTGTCTGAATGATGGCGTGGTTGGTGGGCTCAAGGTGCGAGCGCAGCGGGAAGTCGCAAACGCCCTCGCAGTGGTACGCTTCGTAGTCCAGCGGCGCGATGATCCAGTCGTCCCAGCCCAGCTCCTTGAAGTCCACGTGCAGGGGCTTGCGGCTACAGCGGCTCCGGCCCCTGCGCCCGTGGCTCCGGCCCTCGCCCCCGCCGCTGCCCTGCGCTGCCCGAGTCCCGGCCAACGCCGTCCGCCGCCGCCTGCGGCCGCCGATGACCACCGTCGGCAAGCCCATGCCAGGTCCCTGATCCGGCGGCGGCTCCGCTGCCAGTGCGGCCCCGAGCGCGCGGGCCTGGGCGCGGATCTCTCGGAACAGGCTCTCCTTCCTCTGCGTGCGGGAGGAAACGACCAGCAGCGCGCGCTCCTCCGCCGCCGCTCCGCCTCCGCCCCGCGAGTCGAAGCCCAGCAGCCGCAGTGCCAGCGAGACCGGCGCGGGACCCGCCACTCCGCGCAGCAAGAGGCAGAACGCGCGGGTGGCGCGCGGCTCCCGGCGGTGGCGCCGCAAGGCGTCCGCCACGTCGAACACCTCCCAGCGCGCGGTGTCCAGGGGCTCGGTGGCCCGGGAATGCAGCAAGCGCGGCGCGCGCGCGGCGCTGGGGCACGTGGACAGCAGCAGCAACGGGGGAGTCGCGCTGCCGGGGCCCCGCTCCGGAGACTCGCGACGCAGCACACGCAGCTCCGCGCCCACCACCTCATCGGCGTCGGGAAGGCTGGACACGTCGAACAGGAAGTTCAGGCCGGTCTCCACTGCCGATTCGTCTGCCGGGGACGGGCAGAGACAGAGAAAGAGCGGTGTGAGAGCGAAGCCGGCACGCCCGGCCGCGGGGCCTCCTAACTGCAAATAGCAACTACCCTGGACGTGAGAACAAGGCTCGATGGAGCCGGCGCCTGCCCGGGCGTCTCGGCTCCAGCCGGAAAGCCGCCAGCCTGGTCCGGAAGAAAGGGAGCCTTAGGTTCAGATTATCTGGATCTGGGTTTTCGTTCATCGAGCCAAACGATTTCCGACAACCCACGGACATCAACTGAACGCACCCCTCACCCGAGACCAAGACTTAAGGCCACTACAGTCCACTGCCTGCCCCAGAGCCATGGGTTTTCGAAGACGAGGTCGGAGGCCAGATTTTCAGCCGCTGGCATTAAGAAGGCCCGGTGGGCGCATCAGAGGTCGTGCGCCTCTTCAAGACCTGGAGGCCAGGCCGGCCGCGGTAAGGGGACTGCTGGTTATGGCCCTGCTTAGCCGCCAAGAGAGCCTCGGAGTCCCGGTTGTGCGAAAACGGAAAATTCTTGTCCCCTGTAAACTGCTTCTGCTACCTCTCTTCCCCAGCCCAGCCTGGACATTCCAGCCGGCCACGATCTCCCATGCAGGCGGGGGCTCGTCTAGAAGGGGAACGCGCCCTCAGGGCTGCAGAGACCCTTTAGTGCCTCCAGCCTCCTCGCTTTGCTGAAGGGGAACTGAGGCCCAGATTAGGGGCGGCTCAGCCCCTGGTCGCGATGGGGAACTCCAGGCTTAGCTTCTCCCAGTGTTTCCGCCACCTCCGACGAAGGGGAAAGGCGGCAAAGGAGCGCAAGCAACCTTCTGGGAAGGGTTTGAGGCATCCGCGACTGCCTTGCTGCAGTGAGGGCAGCGAACCGAGTGAGGTCTCCCCGCCAGTACTCTCTGGTCCCCTCGCAGACTTATTCTTTCCCTCCGTTATGACTCAACTCGGGCTTTGGGATTTTACTTCTGGTTGTGGGCACTTTTTTCTTTTGGGGCTCAGAAAGGAAAAAAGAGTTGAAATTCCACCAAGCAGCAGATAAGGAGCTCTCTTTGAAGAAGGTCATATGGTTTCGTTTTGCCCCAAACGCGAAGAGACTGTGCACACTCCCCCCACTATTGGAGATTTGCTCACCAACCACAGATGCCATGCCATCGACTCCTGGGGTCTGAAGTCTGGGTGCTGCGGTGACCTCAGGCAGCCCTGCTCCGAGCTGAGGCTCAGGGTGGAGAGGGAAGCAGGAGAGGCACTGGGCAAGTGCTCCCCACCCCTCCCCCGTGCTTTCTCCCAAGGGCTTGCTCGCTGCCACACTTCCTCTGAGTTTCTCCTGCAGCCTCTCTCAGCTTTGAGATGCTGCCACTGCATCCTCTCCCTCCAGAGAGAGGAAGGAGAGGCGGCCTTACTAGCCTTGCCAGCCAAGCAGAGCTCCCCAGGAAAGGATTTAGCCCAGGCTGAGGCCACTGAAGGCCTAACTCGACCTAAGAAAGAACATCTGGTGCCTCTACAAGCTGCACATCTCACCTCTCCCACAGCTGGGAGCCCACTCTGCAGAATTAGGACTGGGGCCTTCCCTGGCTCTGTACACCAGGACCTGGGCTCCCTATGAGTACCCTAGCATCCCATCCAGGATGCATGCCAGGCCCTCGGAGAATGCTTGAAAGTTCCCACCAGACTATAAGGCCACTTGGGCCCAGGATGCCCCTGTATCCCAAATAAAGCAGTCTGTGTAGACGTTATATGTATGTTGGAGGGGGCGAGAGATTTGATATCTGCCCCGCCTCTACCTGCTTTCCCAGGCTAGGGTCGGGCATATACAACCCCCAATGGCTCCCAGGCAGGACCTGGATTGCAGCAGCACTTAACTTTCCGGCCCTATTTGCCTTTCTTTCCTTTCTGCCTTCCATTCTGGGTCTCTGGCTGGATAGAATTAAGGCCGAAATTACTTGCATTTCCTCCTGAAATTAGTTAAATTTTCCCTATCTGTCTGTTTTAATGGCTTCAATAGAGATTAATAAAATCCAGATGACACTCACCAACCACCACAGTCTCACCTAAGTGCTACCTTTGGAGGGCTCAGGGCGGAGTAAGGTGGGGTACTTGGTCCCAGAGAGGCCTGCATTCCTGCAGCGTCGCTGGCCCTCCTCTCCTCTCTACACAACCGGAGTCCTTCACCTCTGGCTCCCCCAGGGGCCCAGCACAAGGCAGGCACCCATAGCTACACACCTCTACCCAGACGCAGCCTGCTTAGAAGGGCCCTCCCCATACCTGGTGATGCCACCAGCCTCTCCAGAACCATTTACTTTAGTCTGATGCCTGCTGTGTCCCGCATTCCCCTCATTTCCCCCAGTTTGTACGGCCCCCCGCAAGACTGGGAACTGCAGAGCAACGAAGCAGCCGCCGCCACCACCACTGTGCAGTCCCTCTGGGCCGGACCCCCTCCTTGCTTCTCCGGATCTCCAAAACAGCCTGCCTCCTCGAGGGGACCCGCCGGCCGGCAGGGCCCGGGCAGCCCGGCAGAGGGACGGGCTCAGCCCTCCGGGGCCGGGCCCCGCAAGCTGCCGCGGCTCTAGCCACAGTCCAGGCGCTGCGGGTTCGGGTGCGTGGGCCTCAGCGAACTTTCTAACACCTGAGGCTGGTATGTGTGGGGACCAAGGCCCCCCGAATGGAATGGTGCCGGGACAAGGCTCCGGCGGTGACCTCAGCCTAGGACCCGACAGGATGGACTAGCGCAGTGGAGGTGTGAGTACCTTGGGTCGCCTGGTCTGCGAAGCCGGTGATTGTGTCCGCGCGGCTGTGGTGGCCAGAACCCGAGGTGGAGGCGGCGGCTGCCCCGGCCGGAGCCCTCCCGGCCAGGCTCCGGTAAAGCGACATCATGAATTGGTGCGGCACCACCGAGCCGTTCCTGAAGCCGGAGCCCGCGGCGCGGCGCGCGGCGCGGGGCCCGGGAGCCGCGGCGGCCGGGGCAGCAGAGGCGCCCGCAGTCGCGGCGAGGGTCCTCCCGCCGCCGCCGCCGCCCCCCGGACTCCCGGTCGGCCCTGCCCCCGCCGCTCGCAGCACGGCGGCCGCTTCGAGCCCGTCGCGGGGGCGGCAAGCGCTCAGCAGCCAGAGGCACAGCGCGGCGGCCGCGCTCAGGTCCATGGGCTCCGAGGGCCAGGCGGGCGAGCGGCGCGGGCTCCGTGGCTTCGGGAAGTCCCCCGGCGCCTTTTGAACATAGTGTTTAATAATGGGGGAAGTGTGCGCAGCAAGCTGCGGCCCCCCCTCCTCTCCCACCCCACCCCCACCCAACGCCCGGAGCAGCGCCCCCTGCTGAACACTCGAGCGGCAGCGCCGCGCCCCCTACTCCGGCCTAACGCTGAGCCCAGGGCCGGAGCCTCCTCCCCCAGCCGAAGCGCTTCGCCCCCACTCTCGCTAGGCGAGTGTCACCGGCCGGAGGCTCCCACCACAAACCGGGGCCTCGCCTCGCTCTCCCAGGGCAAACTGACCCCCTCCGCCCTCGCTGCGCCCGGGCCAAATGCGCCCTCGGGAGTCAGAGGCTCCGACATATCGTGCGTACCCGCCCAGCGTCTTCCCTACTCCCCTGCGGAGAAGCACCCGCCCCCCGCCCGCTCCAGTACTGCAGGGGCCCGAGACGCCAGAAGTGCGGCCGCGGAGGGGCTCGGCCTCGCCTGTCAGTGCCACGATCCCGTGGCCACCGCGCACAGAGAGGCCACCAGGGCGCGCAGGGTTGACACAAAAGCGCGTTTTTGATCACCGGTTCTGCGGTTCCCCACCCTGGCACAGCTTCCAAAGATCGGAGCGGGAGGCCGGAGCCGGGGAGGAGACCCGTAGGGAAGAGAGGGCTAGCGGCTGTAAGGGCAGGCCGGAAGGACAGCGGGACAAGGACCGACGGTCGAAAATCAAAGGTTTGGGCGCGGAACACGCGCTTAGACGGGAGCCAGGATCTTAAAGGAGCTCAGGAACTACGAAGGCAGCCCCAGGGTGATGAGGGGACTCCCGCGCGGGAGCGGCTCCCCGAGTTCGTCTGTGCATCGAAAGTGAGGACCTTCCGCCCGCCTCCCAGGGGCCCGGCTAACAGAAACGGGCTACCGGGTATGTTGGGGCGCGGGCAGAGCCGGGAGGGCGGGCGGTGAAGAGCCTCGGGGTGGCACCTCCGTACTTCCTTCCCGGGCCTCGGTTCTCCCTCAGGGCGGGGGATGGATGGAGGGGGCGTCCGGGACCGCAGTCGCGCGGGCAGCTTGGCACTTGGGTCCGCAGCCCGCAGGGGTAGGTCCCCGGGAGGCCACATCTCAGGGAGACGCGCCAGGGAGGGTGGTCGTCGGCGGGTGTCGGCTTAGCTCCACCAGCAGCCCGGACATCCCTCGAATGCGGGAAAGCCCAGCGGATGGACAATCCGCTGTTGCGCGGATGGAGGGCTGTAGCCGGACGGAGGGCTGGAGCCTGACGGCTGGAGCCGGACGTATCCCCGTAGCAGGGCAGGCGCGTCTTTTTATTTTAAAATTATATTTGCTACCGAACTGGAAATCTAGGCGGGGGTAGTGCGTCACGGTTACTTTGAGTGGGCGATCAGCGTCAGCCTGACACCACCGGACCCAAAGCCGCGTGAGTCCCTCTCTAGCCCGGCTGCCCCGCACTCTGACCCACGGAAGACGCCCGGCCCGGGGAGCTCCTGGGCCGACTGCGGCCCCAGGCTTCTGAGCTCCCCAACACCCGCTGCTCCGTCCCAAGCGAGCTCCTCAGTCGTCGCCCTGCCGACCACCGCGGAGATGCAGCGCCCGCTCAGCTGGGGAATTTGGGCCACACACCTCTCGGGGTCGTATGGGAGCAGGAGAGGCCTGGCAAAAGGTCGTAACTCTCGGACCCCAGGCGGATCAGGGGGGTGGAGGAAAAAGGCCTGAGGTTCGCGAGGGAATGTCTGGGCAGGAAGAGTGGTGGGAGGCTGGGATGACCTGAGCTGCATTAACCCACCTTGCCTTCGGGACCGAGGGCAGAGAGCCCCGACAAGGTCGTGGTCACGGGTCTCCCTCTCTGCGTGGTCCCGGTACAGAGCGGCCCTGCACGAACCCACGCAGGATGTCTGGCAGAGCCGCCCCCTAGAGACACTGGTCAGTCAAAATAGTGGCCGCCCAGCCACCGGTCTCTCCGCTCATGCCGGTGCTGCGTCCCTGCTGTCTTTCTTGGCCTCCTTTCCTCCTTCAGCCACGCACAGTCTTCGGAAGTTTTGCACGTCATCTCGTCTGTGATTTGCACAAACACCCTAGGAGCCCTGAGCTGGGGTCAAGTAGCCCTGGTTCTGGTCATGGCTTTGCTCTTAACAACCAGTCCCTTGCATCATCTGGGCTTCGACTTCTCCAGCTGTGTGAGGGAGAAAATGCAAGGGTCCCGGCCCAGGCTTGGTACAGCAGGTGCCAAATAAACGTTTGTTAATTACATGATACCTCCACCTTGAGGTCACCTTGGGACTTAGGAATTAGGGACGGGTTGGGGGCCATGTGCTCTTGCTGTCCCTGTGGGAGCAGGCCATTAAGCTTCTTTGAGACTGAATTTCCTCTTCTATAAAATGGGGAGATTCTCACTTCAGGAGGGTGGTGTGTGTCCAGGATAACAGGCTGGCACAGAGGAGGCTCAGTCGCCCTGCATCTGTTAGTCTGTTCTGGTTCCCCAGGGAGATGATGGCCAAAGAGAGAAGTAGCTTCTAGGCACTGGAAGGCTCTGGAGGAGACTGCTGGGGGAAGGGGTGTGGGATGCTGCTGCTTGAGCCAACACCCACCAGCTTCGTGCGCTTGAGCCAGGCCTTAGCTGCTGTCACCTGTGTTTCTTGGTCTGTAAAGTGAGGCAATAATACATTCATTCATTGTTTATCCATCCCTCTATTCGTTCCTTCTTTCCAGTAAATACCGTGAGCAGCCTTCCATGTGTTGTGGATTCAGCAACGCACAGGACAAACGCATGGAGCTTTTGTAAGGGCAGAAGAGACAGGAAACACGTAAATCCATAAATGCGCGTGAATGTACAGTGCACTGTTAGGTGGTTCAAAGTAAAGTGATGGGAAAGGGGGATGGGGGGCCTTTTTGACCAGCCACACTGAAGGGGAGGGAGGGAGGGAAGCTTGGGCCATGTCTGGCCCCCTTTCCTTCCTCTCAAATAATGATGATAACTATTAATAATGGTCACTGTTAACCAAATAATGATGGTTCTTCTCCAAGTGCCAGGGGTCCTGCCAACTGCTTAACGTAACTCATGTCACTTCATTCTCACCACTGCTGTGTCCTGTGAGGTAGGTATTATTATTCCCATTTTATTGACAAAGAAAGTTGAGTCGCAAAGAAATTTAACCCCTTTCCCAGGTCACCTAGTGAGTGGCAGAGCCTGCAGTCAGCAACACTTGGCTGGGCAAAGGGTTACCTCTGGCTGCCCAGAGGGGAGGTGAGATTGTGGGGGGCTGGACCTGCAACACTCTCCCCAACTCCAGTGGAGAGGCAGAGGGTCCTGGCTTTCCTTGCAAGCTCTTTGGAAAATTCTTGGCAGAAAAAGAACTCTCAGGTCCAGGTGAGGTTTATGAAAGCATCGTCTTAGGGACTCCTTCCTGCCTCTGGCATCAGCTGGGAGCTCACAACACCCGCCACTGAACACACTCTGTCATCACCAGCACCAAGGCCTGCCGTGACTGGAAAAGCCACGGAGCTCAGAGTAGGACGCGCTAGTAGGAGCACATGGTCCAATGGCTAAGTTTACATGATGTGACATGATGGCCTAGCGAGTCAGGCCCACAGTGAGGGCTTGACTTGACCAGGACTCTGGATGCCCTGTCCAGAGCTTCCCTGGGACCCATGACTGAGCATCAGTCTGGAGTGCAGGCAGCACCCTCCCTGAGTGCAGAGGAACTTGAGACCAGGAGTTCCCAGCCCTCTATCCCTGACTCTGTGAAGCTGAGCCCTTCTGGTGAGCAGGTGGCCTTTTGGGGCCATAGTGTCAGGCTGGCCCAGGCTCGCTTGGGGCTTCCTCCTGGGGGGACACGGGGAGCCTTTGGTAGGTGGGCCAGGCAGGAGGGAGCTAGTGTTCCCAGCCTGAAGACCCGGAAGTTGTATCCTACCTGCTGCAAAGTGCACTTTGAAGGTAGATTCCTATTGCTCTGTGTTGCCCCAGAAGTCATTGTGCAGCTGGGAATGAGGCTCAGGGGCCGGTGCAGGAAGTTTAGAGAAGGCTGGGAGAAAACTGGGGCTGGAGTTCCAACTTCTGTTCTTTATCAGTCTGAAGACCACCACCCCCCAGTCTCCCAAGAGCGCCAGACTTCAGCTGTTAGCTCCTCAGACAGGGGAGATGAGACTGGCTCCAACAGGGGGAGGAGGGGAAAAGCAGCCTGGTTGGGGGCGGGGTGTTTCTTGACTGGGGTGGGCAGGAGCTGTCCCCACATTCTCATCCCCAGATCCTTCCCTCAGAGAGCACTTTGCCGCTCATCCGTCCTTTGCAGAAGCTGTTTGGTTTCTCTGACCACCAGGTTTCTGACTCAGGTCCTAGAATCCGAGGATCTGAAGGAATATTTTGGATTATTTGGACCTACTTTTCATGTTATGCCTGATTCATCACAAAGTGCTACGCAGGCTGTGTTTGCATACCTGAAGAGATGGGAACTCCCGCCCAATCCCAGGCAGCCTTCTGATAGCTCTGAAGGTGGGGAAGTCTGCACATGAGACCCATGAGAGCCACCACACCTCTCAAAGGCACCTCTGCTGATGTAAGGTCACACGCCACCTGGGAACATGAGCTGGCACACTGGCTTGATGCCACTTAGGAAGCTAGTCTTGGATTCTCCCAGCTTGAACCAGTGGAAATTGGAAACCAACCCCAACCCCGCTGCAGCTTGCTCAGTCTAGAGCCAGTGCCTCCTGCCACACCAGGCACGAGGCCCCACGTCTGATGACAAGAGCATCAGAAGTTTCCTTAGAGATGCCCTGCTCTACACCTTGCATTGCCCACATAGGGCATCCAAGCCCCCAAGGAGGGAAAGGGATCAGTACCCTGTCATTTGGCATCACAGCCACCAGGGATGATGGGCCCCCTCTGTGATCCTGTGCCTTTGCTCTCTGTGAAGCTCAGAAGGTCTCTTCCCAGCTCTGCCCTGGGTACCCTGGAGGTGAGGAAGAGGATGGATGAGGGCTCAGCCTCCACCCTGTCCATTGTTAGGGGTCTGGGTCCCTGCAGCCCAGCACTATTGTGGAAGGTAAAACAGATGCCCCCTGGCTATGATGTT